CTAATTATGCATTAAAAATAGACCAATGCGTAAAATCTAAAATAGCAGCTTTTGAAGGGATGGGTGATGGAATACACACATATGAGTGTGCTATTTTTCCATACTCAGCTCAGTCAATATTCGGTGCTCGAGTAAAGTTGACATAGGTTTCCGCGCTCTCAAAGAATTTGTTGAATAAAGTTGTTCGGATAAAATCTACTCATTAATTTTAGCACTATGAACAAAAGATATTTCAAATATTTCTTTTTTTTTGATGTAATTCTAAAATTGTATGGAGTAATATTTCTGCTCTCTTGTCAAATTTAAGCTATGCAGTTCAAAACAAACTGTACCTCTATCTGCACTTAATACCTTAGCCATCATTCTTGTTTAAAAGAAATTTCCAATTCCTCGGACACTTAGTGTGAAGGCTATTGTTCACTTAATAAAATGTCTGAGTTTAATTCTGATTCCCGTAAGCTAATAAATAGGGATTGAACTAGTCTTTAGATAGTTGAATGGCTGTCCTTTATTTTAGATCCATGATCCTATTTTTCAGTTTGTAGTTTGTTATTTTATTCCTATTAATAATGATGTAAACCTGATGATTCATAGTGAGCAACGAATTCTTCTATCTGCTCTCGTGTCTCTTATTTTGTGCTTAGTTTTATCCCCTTCAAGTGGTATCAGAGCCACTCTTGCCACTGTCTACCCAGTCACAACCTATAATTATGAACAACACAACTCAATTATCTGTCCCTATCCTAGCTAGATGGAAAGAACTACAGTCGTTGGAGTGTGCAAATGAAGGTTTTATTTGAGTACCATGATTTGATGGATGTCATAGAGAGAGGAGTTGAGGCATTGGCTGACAATGCTACTGAGGCGCAGAGAACTGCCCATCGTGAAGCAAAGAAGAAAGATAAGAAAGCCTTGTATCTCATTCATCAAGGAATGAATGATGAAACCTTTGAGTTGATTGAAAGTGCCAACACATCCAAAGAGGCCTGGGGTGCTCTAGCAACTTCCTACAAAGGTGATGAGAAAATCAAGAAGGTACGCCTACAAACTTTACGACGTCAATATGAACTCTTGCAGATGGAGACAAACGAGACAGTGGACACCTTTGTTGCCAGAATTCTTGCTTTAACAAATGCCATGAAGAATAATGGTGAAACCTTGACCGAACAGAGTAAGGTTGAAAAGATCCTACGAACCTTAACACCAAGGTTCGAACATGTAGTGGCAGCTATTGAGGAGGCTCATGACCTGTCCACAATGACAGCGAAGTTGCTATCAGGTTCGTTGAGAGTACATGAACAAAGAATGAATGAGAATCGGTTACACAGCCCGATTGAGCAAGCCTTCCTCTCACAAAACTCACTTGGAGAGTCCAGTCAAAAAAGAGATAATTCACATGGAAGAGGAAGAGGAAGAGGCAGAGGAAGAGGAAGAGGTGGTTATCAGTCCAATAAGGGTCGCGGTGGCCAAAATTATGGAGCCCCCGTAGAGCAAAATAACCCTACCTATCAACACTCGTTTGCCAACTCCAGAGGACGAGGCCGTGGACGAGGTGGAAGACATGACAAGTCAAATGTGGAGTGCTACAATTGTCACAAACGTGGACATTATGCAAGTGAATGTAGATCCAGAGGTGACAACCAAGCTGCCAATTATGCAAAGGAGGATAGCAGCAGCGATGCAGTTGATGATACAACTGTGACAGATCACGCAATTATGATGGTTACGGCATCAAATGAGACTCCAAATCATCATACTTGGTTCCTGGACACTGGATGCACGAATCACATGAGTGGAAGGAAGGAATTGTTCGTAGAGCTAGATGAATCATTCCGAACGAGTGTGAGGTTCGGAGATGACAGAACTGTCCCAGTAACTGGAAAAGGACAAATTCTCATCACATTGAAGAATGGTGATCACAGGTACATCAATAATGTTTTTTTTGTACCGGATATGAAGAGTAATTTATTGAGTATGGGACAACTAGCCGAAAAGGGATATGTGATGAATGTTTCTGGGAAGCAATTCTGTATTTTTGATAAAAAAGGTACATTGATTCTTAAAACCTGCTTATCAAAAAATCGCATGTTTCCAGTTGATATAACTAAAGGAGAATATAAGTGTTTAAGTGCTGTTACTAGTTGTGATTCGTGGCTCTGGCACTTACGGTTTGGTCACCTAAATTTTCGGAGTCTCGAAAACTTAGCCAAACATGATATGGTAAAGGGGTTACCTTATATTAAACATCCAGACCAGTTGTGTGAAGCATGTGTACTAGGAAAAAGTCACAGGCTGCCATTTCAAGGAGAACCATGGCGTGCACAACACCATCTAGAGATCGTCCATACAGACGTGTGTGGACCTATGAACACTGCGTCACTGGGTGATAACAGGTACTTTCTCACATTTATTGATGATTTTACAAGGAAAACATGGGTGTATATTCTGAAAGCCAAGTCTGAGGTTTTTAGCTGCTTTAAAAAATTCAAAGCGGTTGTTGAAAAGCAATGTGGGCAATCAATTAAGATGATACACAGTGACGGAGGTGGGGAGTACACCTCTAATGTGTTTGAAGACTACTGCAGTGAACATGGAGTGCAGCATATTACCACATTTCCCTACACTCCACAACATAATGGAGTGGCTGAGAGAAAGAACCGGACCATACTTGACATGGCAAGGAGCATGCTGAAAGCGAAAAATATGCCTAATTACTTTTGGGCTGAAGCAGTTGTAACTGCTGTTTATTTATTGAACAGATCACCCACTCAGAGTGTCAAAAATACAACTCCAATAGAAGCCTGGAATGGACACAAGCCAAATGTGAAACATTTGAAGGTGTTTGGTTCCATAGCATATGCTCATATACCTGCTGCAACAAGGAAAAAGCTTGACGATAGAGCTGAAAGGTGTGTTCTTGTCGGTTACAAGCAAGGAGGCTACAAACTATACAACCCGGATACAAAAAAGGTTATTGTTAGTCGTGATGTAACCTTTGCTGAAGATGAGGCATGGAATTGGAGTGTGAATGAACGTCCAGAACCACAAAGGCGTGAAGTTCACATTCTAGATGAACTTGATACTGAAGCTACTACTAATATACAGCCTGTAAGTCAAGTCAGAAACAGTGCTCAGGAACCTGAAACATCAAGACCAAGACGGCTAAGGCAAACACCAGCACATTTGCAAGATTACGAGGTAAATCTTGATAATGAAATTAATGATGATGGTGAGCTGGTACATTTAGCTTTCTTAGCAGATACCGAAGCAGTCATGTTTGATGATGCCGTTCGTGATCCAAATTGGATGAATGCCATGAATGAGGAGATGAAAGCAATTGAGAAAAACGAGACGTGGCAGCTTACAAACCTCCCACGAGGTCACAAAGCTATAAATGTCAAATGGGTTTACAAGGTCAAGGTGAAACCCAATGGTGAAATTGAAAGATACAAAGCAAGATTAGTGGCAAAGGGCTTTGAGCAAAGGCAAGGCTATGACTATGAGGAGATATTTTCCCCTGTAGCACGAATGGAGACAGTGAGACTGTTGATTGCCTTAGCTGCTCAAAATCAATGGAAAATACACCAGATGGACGTCAAGTCGGCTTTTCTCAATGGTCCACTTGATGAGGAGGTTTATATCAAACAACCCCCTGGTTTTGTAATAAATGGAATGGAGGATAAAGTGTATCAACTTAAGAAGGCCTTGTACGGCCTTAAACAAGCACCGCGAGCATGGAACGCACAGATTGACTCGTTTCTTCAGAAATCTGGTTTTCGGAAGTGTCCTTCTGATCATGGCTTATATGTAAAGGCTAACAAATCTGGTGACTTACTCATTTTATGCCTCTACGTTGATGATATTATTTTTTCAGGTAATAATGTTCAAATGATTGAAAAATTTAAGAGCTGTATGACAAGGGAGTTTGAAATGTCTGATCTAGGACTTATGTCCTATTTCTTGGGCATTGAGGTGGTCCAAAAGCATGATGGGATCTTTATAAACCAGAAGAGGTATGCTTCTGAGTTATTAAAGAGGTTTGGCATGCAAGATTCAAACCCAGTTAGAACTCCAGTAGAGACTGGTCTGAAACTGACCAGGGAAGGTGACAACCGGCTAGTTGATCCAACATATTTCAAGCAAATTGTTGGGAGCCTGCGATATCTCACAAGCACAAGGCCTGACATTTGTTTTGCAGTAGGATTGGTCAGTCGTTACATGGAATCCCCGAGGGAGTCACATTTACAAGTTGTGAAAAGAATCTTGCGCTACATTAAAGGTACATGTGACTATGGCTTATTCTACTCATCATCCAAGGAAAATGCTCTTGTTGGTTTCTCTGATAGTGATTGGGGAGGAGACTTGGATGAAAGGAAGAGTACCAGTGGTTCCTGTTTCATGCTTGGAAACACAGTTTGTTCGTGGTCCTCCAAGAAGCAATCTGTTGTGGCCTTATCTACGTGTGAAGCAGAATATATTGCTGCAGCATCAAGTGCATGTCAAGCAATTTGGCTTAGCAACATACTGTGCCAACTGAATTTCCAGCAGCAAGGTCCAATTACAATATATATTGACAACATCTCTGCTATCAACTTGGCCAAAAATCCAGTTTTTCACGGAAGAAGCAAACATATTGACATACGCTATCATTTCTTGAGGGATCAAGTTGCTAAAAATACGATTAGACTGGAATATTGCAGAAGTGAAGATCAAATTGCAGATTTATTCACCAAACCATTGAAGATTGATGCATTTGTCAAGTTGAGAAAGTTACTTGGAATGAAGTCTTTACAGAATCAGAATTAAGGGGGGGATGTTCACTTAATAAAATGTCTGAGTTTAATTCTGATTCCCGTAAGCTAATAAATAGGGATTGAACTAGTCTTTAGATAGTTGAATGGCTGTCCTTTATTTTAGATCCATGATCCTATTTTTCAGTTTGTAGTTTGTTATTTTATTCCTATTAATAATGATGTAAACCTGATGATTCATAGTGAGCAACGAATTCTTCTATCTGCTCTTGTGTCTCTTATTTTGTGCTTAGTTTTATCCCCTTCAGCTATGACATGTTCAAATTTCATCTTAAACTTAAAAGGCAAAAGCAACACCTCAGAACATGGAATAGGAAAGTTTTTGGCAATATTTTTTTATAAAGGTGAGGTTGAGCAAACGATTTCTCTTGTTATAGCTTTTCCTTGCATATGATTGTTTTACGCTAACAAATAGTGTGGTAATGTATGCTATAGGGATCAACGCATTCCTTTCTGGTTAAAAATGGAAGATCTTTTAGTTGACAGTTTTTGCATTAAATTCCACCAAAAAATAAGAACATTCTTCATTCTTGTGTTGGCATATTTTCTTACTGTGAATTCTCTTACTTTTCATGGCATTAATTAAGTTGGCATATTGAGAATTCTATTCAAATATTCTAAAGGTTTAACTTTCAAGTAGTTTCTGGCTATATGTTCTTGTACATGTCAAACTCGTTATTGCAAAGCAGAATTTAAGCATATATTATAATAGCTCTCTGTATTTCAAATTACCGACACCATTCTCACATGATCATTACATTGCATTCTTGTATTTCATGATCATTCTTTTCCCATGAACATTACCAACTCTTACAATTGTGAAGGTTTCTTGAGGTCGTGCAGTGACATGAAGGATCGCCTACAGATCTTCCATGGCAAAGAAGATGTTTATTTTGTGACTAGGGGGCAACCCTTTCTGCACCAAATCCAGATGACTTTTGAACTCAAATGGTCCACTATCTTCTTCCTGAAGCATGGCCGGGGTAGAGCACTGCAGCTCGCCATGTCATCATGCCGGTGTAGAGGAGCAGCCAATTAAACCCACTACATATGAGATAAGTACTGCTACCTGCAATGATGTTACTGGCCCTTCTTGATCTCGCACCACGCTATTGTTCCCTCACTCCATTACTGTGATTTTTTTGATCTTTCTAACCCAAACATTCGAACTGAAGTGTTAATTGACCATGCTTTTGTAATGGACAACATTGAACTGTTTTTTTTCCCGCTTTTGTGATGTATTTGCGCATCTTTCTTATACAATGCAGCATTCTCGCATCTTTCTAATTCATAACTTTACTTTCTTTTTATTATTTTTTCTTTTATAAAAACTTAATAGTACTTTATAAAAATACATTGATAACATTTAGAAAATGAGCATAAGATCAGTACCAAATGAGCATACATAACTTACAAATGTTTCTTTGATATGAAAATCGTAAGATTTGTTAGTTTGACATAACGACATTTTCATTGAATATCAAATCTCTTCAATTGAGATGAAATTACAATTTCTATTAAATGAGCATTTATGAAACTTTTAATGTGCATTGGACCTATTATGAGCATTAAAACACTTTTAATGAGCATCAGACTTATTCAATTGAGTATTAAGAACTTAACAATGTGAATCCAATGTCATATGCAACGTTTAAAATTTGCATGATTATAACATTTTAAAAATGAGCATAGTATGAATACAAATTCGACAAATGAGAATACATAACTTATGAAATGAGCATCGAAATATTTAAAATGAGCATTACACCTATATGCATGGATATGACATTTTAAAATGTCTGGTGTAATACTCATTTTAAAGTGAGCATTACGCAAATTTCAAATGAGCATAGGTAACTTACAAAATGAGTATCGCAATATTTAAAAGCTCATTTATGTATGTTCATTACTTGTATGCATTATACTCATTTAGATTTAACACAAAACTCAATTTCAATAAAATTGAGCATTTTAAAATGTCATATGCAACTTTTAAAATTTGCATGATTATAACATTTTAAAAATGAGCATAGTATGAATACAAATTCGACAAATGAGAATACATAACTTATGAAATGAGCATCGAAATATTTAAAATGAGCATTATACCTATATGCATGGATATGACATTTTAAAATGTCTGGTGTAATACTCATTTTAAAGTGACCATTACGCAAATTTCAAATGAGCATAGGTAACTTACAAAATGAGTATCGCAATATTTAAAAGCTCATTTATGTATGTTCATTACTTGTATGCATTATACTCATTTAGATTTAACACAAAACTCAATTTCAATAACAATTTCAATGTAATTGTTATCCGTCCAAAATTACAAGTTGCTAACACACACTATTAAAAAATACTCCCTCCGTAACATTCATATCTTCCCACTTTCCTTTTTTGGACGTAGCATTTATATCTTTCCATTTCTAAATCTTCTCATCATACCCTCAATAATTTAAAAAATAATACACTACCACACCTACTTTTTTTGGATTTATCCTTCATTACATCACATTATTTCACGATCTTCCCTTCATACCCTCAATAATTCATACCTCATTTCACTATTCTTAATCCCACCCACTTTGGAAGTGGGAAGATATATGTGATACGGAGGGAGTAGCTAGAAATTGTCAGTGTGGGGTTGAGAATCTCAGACATTAGCAAGCAGGCGAGCAACAGACATTCCTCCAGTGTCTCTGTCATCAACTCCCAGAATCTCGGAGAACACCAGCTTGAAGCCATCAAATCAGTTCTCAGAACCCTCCCAATCCACCGATCTCTACTGCCGAACACGGAATCACTTCTCAGAACCCACCTAATTAATTACAAAAATACATGGTTGTACGGTGAGCACCGTACAACCGGGTGTACGGTATAATTTACCAAAAACTACCACCATTCTTGAATAATTGGAACACATTAAATTTTTTAGTCCCTGATTCTCATTTTATCTTTTTTTCTTTTTGGATTGTCTCAGAATAAATGTCACATTTCATTTTTTGGAAAACAAATATATGATCCATAACATTTCATTTTATTATATTCAACCACAACTTTTACTAATCACACATTCTTCTTTTATTACATTTTATTTATTAATATATTAATAATTTTATGTTAAAAAGATACTCCCTCCGTCCCTAATAACTTTGCCAAGTTTGACCGGCACGGGGATTAATAAAGTAAAAACTGTGTGGTTGAGATTTGTGCAGAAGAGAGAGAATTAATTGGAACCACAAATTCTTTACTTAAAAGGGAAAGTGACAAAGTTAATGGGACATCCAAAAAAGGAAAGTTGGCAAAGTTATAAGGGACGGAGGGAGTATTAACTTTGTTTTATTGCAATTTGTCAAAATCTACTCCGTAATTTTATTAACTTTTTTTTACAAATTGATAATGTGAAAAATTGGCAATTACAGTTATTTAAGAAGAGTGATTACTAAAATAATTAATACTTCCCCATGTTTTTTAGTTTTCTGCACTTTTCTTTTTAGGATGTATTTAAAAGTTCTATACTCCCATTTTTGGTAGGTTTACCCTTTATAAAATACTCAATTACTCTTATTTTATCTACTTTTTATTTCTCTTTAGTACTTTTACACTCTATCTCCTACTTTTTCTATACTATTCACTACTCCTAATATTCTATCCTAAAATATATAGCCCAAAACTAGGGTAGTAAACATTTAAATATAGTGTGAGATTTCGTGATTATTGAAACTGCTTCAGGAGATTTGATCACTGAAACAGGGCGGTAGTGGTGCCAACGCAAGAGGCTATTGAATAAAGGGAAAGATTAATGCAATCCATAACTCCTGAAAACATAAAATGAAATCATATATATTTGTCCCTTTCTCTTCTTCTACGAAGTAGTAAAAATTATTATTACAAATATTACTGCTGTAAAACAATTGGCAGTCAAGCTTGATACTCGTACTTAAATTGTTGATGGAGATTAAAAGCATAATGGTGCCCCGAAAGGCTAAAACCTTTAAAACAGAGCAGATAATACTCCCTGCATTTTAAAATGAAATTAACGACGAAATACTTAACCTAAAAGAAAAGGATTTGAGAGGATCAAAACCAAAGTCTGATTTTTATGGAGGAAAATTGGGAAATTGCTTGAGACAACAACAATAAAATGTAAAAGTAACAATAATAATAATAAAAAGTGGCTCAAAAGTGCTTGAAAGAGAATCAAAGTTACCCCTCTAACATGGGAGGCTCCTCAATCATGTCAAAAGAATACTTTCATCATTGCCACCATCAATTAGAGATGGAGAGAGCTTAAAGATGACTGGAATCAAATGCCAATCCAAAGAAAACACACAATTCTTTCCCATCACACTCCCCACCCAATGATTTTTTGCCTCATTGAAGCTCAAGAAAATAATTGCAGAGTAGAAAGGTTAAAGAAGGAAGAAATAATGATTACTCAATAATCAATCAATTGTAAAGATAAAAGAAGAAAATTGATGGATCGTTCGAGTTATGGCAGGCGGCAGCAGCCAGTTCAGGCAAAGAGAAGGGTTGGAGAGGGAGCAAATCAAACACTTATAGCGTTTAGTGTTGACTTTCTGGTCTAGGGTTTTCGATGGTTGGGCTAATAGTAGAGGCTACTTCCCTCCTCACCTTTGGACTCCACTTTGAGTTTTGATCTCCGGACTCTGCTGTCTACATATGTTATATACACACATGACACACCTCGTACTTATGACTCAAAGCAGCCCACCTAATTTTATGTGCAACAGAACAAACATTATTTTTACATTTTTATCATATTTTTATTTTTAGGTTATTAGAAAAAAAAGTTTCACACGGGACACAATTTATAAACTGTCAACTTTGAGCAAATACTCGGTATTTAGGGAGTGTTTGCAATTGCTTAAAAAAAAGCACTTCTCAGCTTTTGGCTTTAAAAAGCACTTATTTACCAAACACTACCAATTTTTACTTTTTCTCGGCTTGCGTGTGAAAAGTGCTTTTCCCTTTTCTATTACACAAAAAGCACTTATTTTACCAAACACTACCAACTTTTACTTTTCAAAATCACTTTTTTCTCAAACACTATCAACTTTTACTACCAATCACTTTTTCATTACTTCTCCAAAAGTGCTTTTTTTTAAGCAGAAGCAGTTGCAAACACTCCCTTAGTAAGTCACGCATTACTGTGTAGACAAGACATGTTGTGGCAACTTAGTTTTACCCGCACAAGTAACTCAATTGATAAAGCAATGGAAAAGTTGAACAAATGACCAAGCAAGGATCGAAATCGGCAGAGACCGTGTACAGATCACAACTCCTTTGTGTTGGGCTGCACACGGGTATAAGGTCTACCGCTATTATGATTGGTTGAGTCACCGTAATTTACAATCTCTCATATGCTCTGTCAGGTCCGTGAGTCGGGACATGGGGGGCTCTTGAGGTTGGGGATTCAACTTTTTGGACAAATGTATTGGAACCAATAATAGTTGAATTGAGTTTGTTGTTGAGACAATTAATGTTGTTTGTGCACGGAGATCGATATAAACTGATTTCTTTACCAAGGTACACGGATGAGCACACATATCAGTGTGTAGATGTAGATAATGCCTAAGATATACCCATAGTAGCATCCGGACTAGAAGGTAGAATGAGGAGGTATGAACTTTAGTATAAAAACCGGTAAGTTATCAGTATGTTAAAACTTAGAACTTGGATCTCTTTCTAAAAGTTGGAAGGTGATTATTTACACTAAAATATCTAATACTTAGTGAACAAGTAAGTATTAGGTATACAATTAAGGATTCTCTCACCAATTGGCCCATACACGTGGTTCGCTCTCATTAAACTAATGAGAGCGAACCACGTGTATGGGCCAATTGGTGAGAGAATCCTTAATTGATTGACTAATTGATACGGGTGCACGACTGACTGTCTTTTGTCTAACAGAACGCCTAGATAAGACACACGTGTAGTGTATCGTAACAGTTGGATGTCGTGACAGATCAGGTGACATCAACCCAAGAGTCAATTATTCCCTTGTGGCGTTAGACTTCATATTGTCTAGAATGTGTGCAAAAATGTCTAAATCCATAAATTTGTGCAATGGGCCAAGCTCGGCTCGGTGTGAGTTTATTGATGTCTAGCTTAGATATGGTGAGATTGGCTTAGGGGTAGCCAAACTTAGCTCAGGTGATACTCAACTCAAGAGTGACTATATTTAAGCCGAGCGGCTT